TTGATTTCTAGTTTTTGAGGAACAATGCTCCTTTTTCCAGTTTCCAAGCCCAAATGCTTCCAAGGTGGCATCTTTTGAATTTTCCTTTCCTGAAGCTCGAACCCTGCAACAGTCAATGCATCGATTGTTTTTTTCCCTCCATTCCCAAGTTAGAGCCTGCTTTGTTCTGTTCCTGGGTCACATCTCACAGTAACCATTTTTGGGAATACACCTCTCATGGGGGCACTGGCACTGTGCCAGTGTCAATCCATGACAGTTGAGTACCTCAGCCTTTACTTTGTCCATTGTTTGTTCTTTGTCCAGTTTTCCAGCACTGTTTATCAGGGGGTAACACTTTCTTTGACCTTTCTTTTCTGGCTGACAGATCTGTAGAAGCCCTTCCTGTTATTCTTTGTGTCCTTTGCCAGGTTCAGTTCAAGCTTCACCTTGGCCTTCCTCATCCCATCCCTACCACAACCAAACTCCATCTCTATACTCTTCCCAGGATAGCTGTCGTTGTTCCCACTACCTATGCATTTCCTTCTTTCCCTTTAGTTTGACCAGCAGTTCCCCACTCAGCCATGCCAATCTCTTGCCTTCCTTGTCCAGTTTTTTACTCCTGGGGATCACCTCCTGGGTTATTATTTAGCCTCACCAATGTATTTGGTTGCTCATGGAGTGTCTGTGATTTTTGATCTGCAAGACAGATGGTAGTTCAGCATACTCTGCATTACCTGTACGAAAGTTTCCAAAAGTGTAGCCTTTTTTAAGCATTAAGGGGAATGTTCCCTCCATTTAATGTTTTTCTGTGGCCTTTGGGTGTATAAGTGAGAATTATAGGCTACTTGTGGATTTCTTTTGAAAAGTTAGATGCTGCTGAATATCTTTATTTCTCAAAATACAGGTTTATTTGCTTTCCATCTCAGTTGTCAATAATTACTACATCCCTGAAAATGTAGGCTTTTAAAGTGAATTGAGCTAGAATAGGTTCTTATGTTACTCAATGAAATGTCTCAGCCTCTTTTGGAGTTCATTAAATAGTTTGTTTCAATAGTGATGTTGGTATCAGTACCTCCACAGATTAATTATCAGACTTAGAAGAAACACACTGTTACCAATTTTTTGTACTTTCATTTCCTTGAATTTCATTGTATTTCTGCATGATGAAATTAGTAAACAGAGACAGCAGTTGTTCTTTGTTACTATTTGATGATGGTAATAACAGTATACTACTTTGAATTAAAGTTTCTGGGCATGGTTTGTTTTAATACCAATGCATTGTTACTTCATGGTCATTCTGTGCCAACTTCTTTTTCTGGAGCTTAGTTTCAGCTCTCAAGCATAAGCTGTCATTGTTCTTGAAAATAAAACTTTGTATTATTTAAATACCTCCTTCTTTAAAGTGTCACTTTGTATATACCAGTGTTGAGTCTTTAACTGTTATTATCAGGTGAAAAGAGAGAAATAGCTTCTATTTCTTTAAGATATTTCATCAGAATAATAGCCTAACTTTCATAAAAACCTGCATATACCTTAAATGACACTGGGAATTATGTTCCTTTATCATGTCTGTGGGTTTTGTTTTGTTCAGTTTGTTTTGTTTTTATAAATGAGAGTTATGACTCCACATTAAGCTTTTGCAATTTTATTTACATAAAATTTACATAGAGTGTCTTTTTCTTCTGTAGAATAGTCCAGTTGGCCACATCTTTACAGCATATTTATCAACCTACACAAAAGGAAGAGCTGACCAAAAACTGGCTGGTTTTATACACTTACAAATCCCCGTGTTTGTCTTAACAGGTGAAAAACCATTTGAATGTCCAAACTGCCATGAGCATTTTGCTAGGAATAGTACACTCAAATGTCACCTGACAGCCTGTCAGTCTGGAGCTGGAGCTAAAAAGGGAAGAAAGAAGCTGTACGAATGTCAGGTGGGTAATAGAAGTAGCAGAGTTTGAGGCTAGACACCTTCCTGTGCTGAGGGAGGGAGTGTGAGAGTACTGAGCAGGAAAGGCATAGAGAGTGGACTTTTGTATCCAAGAACTATTTTTAGCAAAATAAATTATAAAGGCTGCATTCAACCATGACATGAAGGTAAATTCTTATATCTAAGTAGTTCCATTTAAAATATAAAATTACTGATATGGAGTTTCATAATAGTTAATCAGTTAGATTCTTGTGAGTAGGCAAGTGTTCATCTGCATCTTACTAATCTTTCTGCTTCTTGATGCACAGACCTAGGCCTTTCCTGCTTGTGAGCATGTTTCACTAAAGTCCAGAATACAAAGTACTATTTTATTTCCTGTGATGGTAGCTCTCTAGTCAGAGAGAGAGAAAGCTATAGCTAAGTTTTCCTAGAATCGGCCTGGGAAGCTTTAGGGAGCTGGAGATAAACATTGATAGCCAAATATTAAAACAACCTGCAGGTGGTGTTTTTCTAATAAGATTGTTTACAAATGGGTGTCTTGTTAACTAGCCAAACAGGTGAAATGTATTGATTAAATGACCAATCAGGTCCACCCATAGGGAACTAAGCTATAAAAGAAGAGAGGATGAAATGAATGAGGCTTTTGCCACTTTGCCTTCTGACTCAACTACCTGTCATCTCTGATTCAGTGGTGACAATTTCCTAATTTATTATTTTTCTCTTTAATACCAATATCCTGACTGGCTGGAAAGTAATTTCAACTTATGATGACAATCTGTAATGTCTTTTAAGCAAATATAAATGCTGCAGATGGATAGCTAGGATACTTGGTTAGAATATTACTTAGCTTTTAAATGTTGATTCTGAAAAGCTGGAAAATATGAGAGCTGAGGTTGGTTGTAGCATTTTTATTTGCCATTTTGTTGCCCCACTGCTGTGACAGTCTCAAATAAGGCTCTCACTTTATTCAGTTCACAGAATTGCTGTGGTTTGAGGTTAAATTGGGTCATGTAGTAAAGAAAACTGTTGGATGTTGGCTTTATTTGTTTGAAAAAAAGAGTGATCTTATTCACAGAAAGCAGCAAATACTGCAGGAGGTGAATAAATTCATCATTTAATCAGAAGTTTCACCGATGCTGTGGCATTGCTTAGTTGTTATACTAGACTAAAGTTAATTCTTGGGAACATGCCTTTGTCTTAAAAGGTAAGTTTGTATTGAATGTGAGAACTACTATATAACACAAAATTGTACCTAGTAGCTTCACTGAAGGTACTGTTTTGTCTTTGTGAGCCTTTGGTTTAATTACTTCACCTTGTAGCTTTCTGTTACAGATAACTGTGAATGTGGGTTAGTGTTATTTCAGCCTGCAGCAACTACAAGAATTCTTGCATAAATTCTTGATTTTTTTTTCTCTTTAAAACTGAATTTGAATAGTGTTCACTAAATAAAATCTTGGCTCATTGAACAAGAAGGAAAAAACAAAATTGCACTTGCTTGATGAGCACTTTGGATGCTCTTCAGTGAATGCCGTGAGTACTGAATTAGGCTCCACGTGGCAAGAACAGTAATTATGTGCTTGGGCATTAGTGATAGTCATTACCTTTATGTATGACTAATTAATTTTGAGTACTTATCTATAAGGTTAGTATTTTAAAAAGTCTGTGTGTGCAACTTCTTTCTAAAGCATGAGCCTAGAGGACACACATACACAAAAAGCATGTTACTAGCATCACAAATGTGGTTTTAAGATTTCAACAGCAAAATGTGGATATTCAGCTCCATTACACAGACCCATTCCTTGAGTTAATCCCTGTCAGATGCTCCATCATCTTTTTGTGCTGTTGCTGTAAATTGAGGAGATGGAACATACTGTTTCAAAATTATTTGCCAACAGTGAAGGGGTTCCAACAGTGAAATGCATGTTCTTTGCTTCTTTCTGAAGCCAAGAGCACTTGTATGGACAAAAACCCCTGACCCTGTTTCTTTACTCCAAGCCTGACTACCCCACTCTTCTCTCTCTTCTACCCTGGCACCTCATTAATTTCTGCAGTCTTTGTGTATTGTTTTCAAGCTACTTACCTCACTGCCAGCTGAAGGGAAGTGTGCTCATGTGCTTTATGAAAATAGTATGTCTGCAGTCAAAGCAGTACTTTTAGCTGGAAGAGACTTAAAAAGATGGAGTTTTAAGAGATTCTTATCTGCTAAAATTGCTTAAATATATTTTTTTGAAATGGCAAAATGTGAGAGTTCAGTCTATCCAGCTAAATCTTAGAATGCCATGAACAAATGAAAATTGATAAGTAAAAATAGGCTATCAGTACTGCATCTAGAACTTCAGTAAAAGGACAGTTTGAATTGCACTTTGATCATATGATATTATTACATAAATAGATTTCTACTCAAAATTCTAGCATCAGACATTTATTGGGGTGTGAATCTGTATGTGAATGTCACATAAAGTTAAAATAGGAAAGTTTTACATGCTGTACTGACTGATTAATTTTGTAGGTATCCTCTGTATGCACAACTCAAAATGGCATACTGTATCTTAAAAATAAATAAATACCAGGTCTTCTGTTCACTTGAAGCTGATTTCTCTGCTTTTACCTCTAACATACATGGTGGGTTTTTTTAATCCAAGTAGCAAGAAGCTACGCTATGTGAAGCCATGATCTGAAATAGGCACTATACTTTGTTATATTTATTTTGGCACTGTTTAACACACTGTATCTTTTGTTTCAGGTTTGTAACAGCGTGTTTAACAGCTGGGATCAATTTAAAAATCATTTGGTAATACATACAGGTGTCAAACCCAACCACTGTACCTTATGTGATTTGTGGTTTATGCAAGGCAGTGAGCTGAGAAGGCATCTCAAAGACATGCACAATATTTCAGAACAAATAGTGACAGAAGAGATTCTTCCAGTGGAAGCTATGGAAGCTGAACCAGTAACATCAATGACTATAATAGAACAAGTGGAGCAAGTCCATGTCCTGCCAGTAATTCAGGTACAAGTGGATCCTGCAAAGGTAACTGTGGAACAGATGCACCAGGATCTCATACAGGACAATCAAGTGAAAGGCACACAGATGGAGGAACTGCAAGAACAGGTGCAAATTAGTTATTTAGAAGTTGAACACATTCAGACTGAACAAGGTGCTGAAGTTCATGTGGAGCAATTACATGTTGGGCGTGTAAATCGAATACAGATGGAAGAAGTACAGGCAGAACTTATAGATGGAACAGACTTTGAACAAGTAGAATATGAAAGTGTTGATCAAGGAGAGGCAGAAGAAAATGAAACCAGTCAAGTAGATGATGCAGATATGGAATATAATGAACAAGCTGAAGACTTAAAAACTCAACAATTAGTGGACACACAGAATGAAAAGGTGGATAACTAGGACAAATGACCACACTGTGCAGCTTTAGGAATGAAGTACCCAATTATTTTTGCTAGCTTTTACATTGGTTTTTGAACCAATGGTCTGTGGTCGCCTTTCCAATATGCTGTCCTTAGGAAGCTGGACAAGTGGAGCAAAGTTAGTTTTCCTCATGTAGAACTAAACTTCTCATATGTGAAAAATGACTTTACCATTCATGTAATGCCATGGAACAGAAACCACCACAGCTTTGTCAGGATTTTAATAATGAACAGCTTGTATCATTTACATCATCCCTGGGTATATGTAAGAGTAACTTTGCCTCTTTTCTTCTTGCTATAGAAGCAAACTCTTGTTATAGATTTGCAGGGTGTCTTTGGCAGAAGAATCAGTAAAATATGGTGGGTTCTAATGTAAGTGGATAATCAGGTACCTGTGAATTTTCTGGGCAGACTGGTTTTTTTTTGCTGTTTCCTAACAGCAGTCCCTAACTTTCAGGCTGGGGAAAAAACATTGTTGCTGGAGGTTTCAGTGCACAAAAATACTGTGCCTTTTCAACAGGGGTGAAATTTCCACAAATCTCCTAGAGTGTTCAACCTAGTTCAATAAAAGGCAATGTGGATAATGTTATATAGCGCTTTATATTTTTGCTTAAAATTGTCAGCTACTGATTTAGGGGTTTTTTTTCATTAAATTTAGGAGGGGATGAGGGAGGAAACATTCCATGTGGAGGCAGCAGGACACTCTAAAAGGGACACTTTAAATTAGGAAAAGCTCAGTAGAATCTGTGGTAAACATGAGCTGGAAGAAAGCTACCAGCAGACTCTTCATTTATAAATTGTCATTTTTGAAAAGGAATATTTTTAAACATATAGAGAAGGCTTGTCTATATGGTATCAGGTTCCTAACTTCTTTTAATGAAATTCTGACACTTGACACAAAGACATTGTACTAAAAGTAAAAACCATAAGTATGAATGCTAAAATGTGAATTGAAAAGTAGGACTGCAAATATTTTAATCAGTATTAGACAACAAAACAATAGCATCCATGATATATTGCATTATTTTCTTAATCCAATAAATTAGGAACAACTGACTGTCAATTACAGTGCCAGATCCCAGTGGCAAGAATCAATATAATTTTAATAACTTTACAGTAATGACCTATTAATGTTAAGTTTGTTTAGAAAATACTTGTCTGGCTCTATGTTTCAGGATGCTAAGAACTTCCAATTCTCAATTATTGCCTTGAGATTAGAAGTGCCTCCCTACTTCTGAAAAAGTTTGTTTTCAAAGCCCTAAGTAAAGGGAGGAATTTTTGCAAGGATGTTCCCTAATGCTCTTGGTATTCATGTAGATCTTGCTTAAAATCAGGCTTTTCTATTCAGTCTTCTCCAAATGCAAAATTATTTCTTGAGATTTATGCTTTTATTTAGTATCATTCAAAATTATTCTTGTGTTTCATCATAGCTAGCCTTGAAGAAACTGTTGCAAAACAAACATGAATCTCAATTAAAATTTCAAACAATTTAATTAACATAATTTGCATTCTTTTTTTGTGTTGTTTTGTGTCATGGTGTGTTGGGAGACTGAGAGATGACACGACATTGAGGTTTCATGCAGCAGAGAGCCTTTATTGGTGAACACAGCCCTTTTTATAGGCTATTCAAAAGACTCCGCGTTCGACTCTGGTTACCACCCAGCTATTGACCAATAGCTACCTGCTTGCATTCATATCTGGGACTGGCTCTATGTAGCCAAACCCCTCCTCCTCTTATGAGGCATACAGTCCATCTTATGCTGTGATAGTTTTGTATGTTCTGAGATGCAAATAATATGGGATGAGATAATCACAGAATCACAGAATTTCTAGGTTGGAAGGGACCTTAAGATCATCGAGTCCAACCCATGTTCTAACACCTCAACTAGGTCATGGCACCAAGTGCCACATCCAGTCTTTTTTTAAACACATCCAGGGATGGTGACTCCACCACTTCCCTGGGCAGATGATTCCAGTATTTGACCACTCTTTCTGTGAAAAACTTCCTCCTTAAGTCTAGCCTGTATCTCCCTTGGCACATATATATTCAGAGAAAAGAATGTGGCCTGATGTTAATCATGAAAGTAAAAGATAGCTATTGGATTTATACCTGGCTTCTGATAAGAAGCCTGTCTTTTGATAACATGGAGGGGGTGTAACATGCTTAGCTGCATAACTCTAAATTTTTAGACATTAATGCATATAGACACCAGATCTGTATCAGTGGAATTGAAGTAACAATCTGGTTGTGTCTAATTAATGAAAGTAACTTAGACAATTCAAGTCCAATGTAAATTGAGCAGTTAGGTGATATTGATAGCAGGGCTATAATTTGGTAAGCACAGATGGGCTATTTTTTTGTTCTGTTTGATCTCTCCTTTTTTAAGAACAGCTTGCAAATTTGGTAGGAGAGAAATGATGCTTTGTTGTTGTGCCCAGTGCTGCCTCTATACAGACTTCTGTTGAGCCTGGGTGGGAATGCAGTGGGGGCATGACCAATCCTCTCCTCACCCTGAGGGACAGGGTGAAAGGCTCTCCTCAAGTAATAACTCCACTGGAAAGTGTTTCCCTTTGCAACCCCCTCTTCCCTAGAATTTCCTTCCCAAATTGCTTCTACCAGTGGAGTCCCCCATGCCTCCTTACTGCAACTGCAGGAGGGATGATTGACTTGGAGAGTCAAGTTCTGGTTGCCCTCTGTAACAGCTACCTTGCCATCCTCTTTCTGCCATAAATGTCTGTATAGACCTACAGACCTCTCCAAACGATATACCTATGCACCATTGGAGGAGTTCTTTCCTTTAAATCAGTATGTACTGCTGGTTCCCAGAGTGCCCTGTGTTATGCAGGTACTGGTCTGTAGCTTGCAATGAGGCAGCATGCAGCTGCACTTTTTGCCTGGTGCCTGCAGTGGACCATGTCACATGAAGTGAATGCTTGAATTTATGCTAAATAAAACTAATTGGCCTAAACCACTGGGGTCTAGGCAGTGAGAAATGGAAAAGTTGGACTGAACAAAAACCTGTGAGGTGTGTCTGGATACAAAATAAAAAGTGAACATTAAATGGAGACTTGTGGATTTATATACAATATTCATGAGAGGCCACAAGCTACTTCTGAAAGAAGGGCAGGGAGAGGAAAGGGTGCTGATCAATAGTTTGAGATCTGCTAAGTTATTCATTCAATATAAGAAAGGATTAGCTGCTTTTTTTGAAAACAATTGCAAAAACATGTTTAATCTGCAGGCTTATGAGAATGGAATTGGATGCCAGTCCTATGTGAGATGGTCACTAGAGGAGGATCATGCAGCTTCTTCTGTTTCATGCTTGCAGTGGAATTTTTAATTAGCTAATGGTGCAGAATATGGTAGTCTCTTACACAAATTCTGTAACTCAGTATTATTTCGAATGAGGAAACATTTAAATAGATGTTTAATTTGGTTGCTTACTTTTAAGGACTGAAGTATGTGTTCTGTAAGGACTATTGTGAAAATGTAACATGCAGTTAGAATTTTTGTTATTTCTAACAACTTATTTCTTAAACTGTAGTGTTTGCTTCTAGAAAATAATTTTTAAATTAAAGCAACCTGTTTACAATGAAAATACAAATAATTTGTAGCTTGTTAAACACTTAGCAGCTCAGGCAGGTACAACAGAAGCTGGAGCTCACTAGCTCAGATCTTGTAAAGCTTCAGCCATGGCTAGACATAACTGTGGGAGCATGCCTGTGTCTGCATCCTGGCCACAGCTTTGCATGCTGCCTGAGTAATGCTCTCACAGCTCCCTCATACTTCTTTCCCTAACTGGAACCTTGACATCTATAAATGTCTCTGCTGGGACTTGTCTTTCCAATTCCTTTGAGAGCTTGGTGGCCTGTTGAGGAAATAATTTGTACCATTAAAAGATCTGAAATTAGAAAGAGAGGTGCAGCATGTAAATCCTAGGGTGAGGGTCTCTGACATGGGGGTACAAGGACTCAGAGGGTGTAAGTGGTGTGCAGGGGGCTGTGCCTGGCAGGTGATAGCCAGTCATGGGATTGCAGCCCATTGCCACCAGAGCTGTCCAAGGTTTTGTAACAAAGATGGCTGCAGTGGCTGCCTAGCCTGGACTGCAAGCCCTCTCAGCTGGGCTGCTGGGAGTTGGGCAAGCGGGGCATGTGGTGAGGCAAGGAGGTCTGTCCCCATCTCATGAGGAGAAGAGTGATGGCAGGTGGTTGGCAGGGACTGCAGCAGTGCTGAGGCCCACAATCCCAGGCAGGCCTCCTCTGCCCAGAGTTAGCCTGCCAAAAGGTTGAAAGAGGCAGTGAAGCACTGCAAAGCCGAGGCTGGAGGCAATGGGGAGGGAGCCAATTTTCAGGTATGTCTCCGTCTCTCTGGGTGCCTCCCAGTGAACCCCGGCCAGCCCCGGGTCAGCAAACAATGGGGGGGCAGCCCCGAAGTGACCGACAGCGGGGGGACACTCTGGTGCCCCAAGGGTACTGAGGGCATCTAGGCTAGTCACCTTTGCAGCAGAAGAGACACCGGAGACATCGGTAGAGGGTAAAAGGCCGACTCTCAGCAAGGGGCCAGTCCAAAGTTTATTTGGAGCTCCTCAGGGGGCCCCACACCTCAGGGATTTGGGGGATGATCTCAACACAGGAGAATTATTACACAGGTAGAGGAAGGGGGTACAAAAAAGGGGTACATCATCTGGGGAGAATAAGGGGATACAAAATCAAAACTATTACAAAGTATAAAAGCACACTACAACACAGGTACAGCAGTGGAACCACAGCACCAGTGGTGGCCAGCTATGTCCCCTGCTCGGGTGGAGATCTGGCCCCTGGAGGTGGCACTGCCTCAGGCAAGTGTCCCAGGCTGCTCCTTGTCAGATTCTGACAATGGATTGTTGTGGGAAACGAAGGCTGAGCCACTGCATGTTACCAGCTTGCTGTGAACATGCATGGATTCCTCACACCTGTATGTGCTGAGTTTTATAATTCTGGTGCTCTTCCAGCACAACTGGGTCTTAAAGCTTTTGCCAAGGTGTTATGGGTTGACCCTGGCTGAACAGGTGCCCACCAAGCCACTCTATCACTCCACTCTTCAAGTGAACATGGGAGAGAAAATATAATGAAAGACTCATGGGTGGAGATAAGGTCAGGGGGAGATCACTTACCAAATACTGTCATGGGCAAAACAACTCAATTTGGGGAAACTAGCTTAATTTATTATCAATCAAATTAGGATACCAAGAAAATAAAAACTAAATCTTAAAATGCCTTCCCCATACCCTTCCTTTCTTTCTGGGCCTAACTTTACACCCACATTCTTTACCTCCTCCCCCTCATCAGTGTAAGGGGACAGGGAATGGGGCTACAGTCAGTTCACACATTCTCTCTGCTGCTCCTTCTTCCTCAGGGGAGGACTCTTCCCCTACTCCAATGTGGGTCCCTTTCCACAAGGTCAGTCCTTCAGGCACAGCCTGCTCCAGCATGGGCTCCTTCAGGGGCTGCAGGTGGATCTCTGCTCCCCCATGGACTGCAGGGGCACAGCTGCCTCACCATGGGCTGCACCACAGGCTGCAAGGGAATCTCAACTCTGGCACCTGAAGCACCTCTTGCCCCTCCTTCTGCACTGACCTGGGTGTCTGCAGTTGTTCTTCTCACATATTCTCACCCTGCTCTCCCAGCTGCTGTTGTTTCACGATTTTTCTTCCCTTCTTAAATATGTTATCCCAGAGACACTGCCCCTGGAGAAGTTTTAATAATTTCAGTAGTATTTGTTGCTGCTGTTTAAATTTGTATGTTAATTTGCTTAGAGAAAGTATACTGGCTAAAGGGAACTTTTTTCTTCATAAAGTTACTGGTATAAGATCCCACATTTTTCTAATGCTGACTTTTCTTTAACATATTTTAAACAAAATTAAGTGTTTCCAATTGTTCACTTCAGCTGGAGGTCTAATTCTGCATATCCTTTGCTGGGGTTGTAATCTGATTCATGAAAATGTCATATCCTGGTGCTTTGCTCTGAAAAAGGAGCACAGAAACCCACTGGCTTTCAGGGGCCATGCTGCAAGAATGGTGCTTCATGGGCAGACTTGCCTAGGGGGCACACAAATGAACTACACAGAGGTGAGGGGAGAAGAGGGGTTTTCGCTGTTAAAATTGAATAAACAAGATACAGTGCCAATGTGTTTTTAAATTGTTATTTACATGCAGATTATTTGAAAGACGTGTTTTTTCTGACACCCTCTTCTTATGCTAGGACTAATTGGAGCCTGAAACAAAAACATTTTCAGTCTAAGAAATCCCATACTGTATTTAACATAAGAAGCATATGAGTAATTCCATGGAAGAAACCAGAACATGCTTCTGTGTTTTCTGGATTGGGTTATTATTCCTTATATTGTGTACTGTTCATATAGCTTTAGAGTGGCTGGCACAGTTATTGATAAACAGAATAGCATGT